TAAAGCAATATTCCGGGTGAAAAATAAGTTAAGTAGCATAAATTTGCATTTTTGGTATAATGTTGATTTTACCAACAAACAAAAAAACCCCCTAAAAATAAAGAAAAGAAATCCCTCATGTTCTTAAATGTTAGAATGAAAAGGAAAATCCAACCAAATAGGATGAACTGAAAATCGAATGAGGAATATAGGAAGAATACAGGAATGGATTGCATCGATGTGATTCGATAACCATTGAAATCATTTCATGTGAGTGACAAGTTGCTACTCATCTGGCCAATGGACATCGTTTTTGCCCATGCAGCCCTCGCACAATTGTACACATCATCAAAGAAGTGATGTCATAGAAAGGGGGAGGGCAAGTTTTTGATGAAAGATGATTTGAATAAATATTATGGACAGATATATAAAAAATATTGATGTGCGTGGATAAATCACTTGTAAAAAACACAGCAACATTCCATAAAAAAAGAACTGTTAGTAAATGTTATTCCTTTGTGACTTAAAATACAAATAAATCGAGGTAATGGTAATTACATTGGAAGTGCACTGTAAAAATATGGTTGAATATATGGTAAAAAAAAAATAGCAGTGGTTGCCAGAAATTTACAGTAAAAACGGTGACAGTATTTCACGTATTACAGGATGACGTACTGGTTCCTGTATATTTTATTTTCAACTTATATTTATATAATCTGAAGAAAAACACAATTATATAAACTACTTTCAAATTACCATGCTCTCCACCCTCATATCCCCCTGAGACGTGAGATTTATGTATTTTTTGTCAGAGAAAAAAATCCTCATTCACGCAAAAAAAAAAAAATCGCCATTTTGGTCATTGGAGGATTTTTTCACCAGAGTCTAAAGACTACAGTTAGTAGAAGGGGTTTTCCCGCATGTTTTCAACCCACCCATAGAGCTCACTCACAGAATGTACACATAGTGTCAGCCATCTTTTTTTTGGAAACTAAGCTAACAGGCTTTGCCGAGTAGTAGGGGTTACCATCCTCTTTTTCCAGGACATGTCCGGCCGTCGATGTCCGGGATTCAGCTTTTGCTTTCTGCAGTCGCCATTCATTGTTTACATGCACACCTTTTGTTTCAATCTAACTGAATTCAGCCTGATTGGTGAATCTGAATGTAGTGTTTACATGAACGCTAAACAATCGGTTGATGTGTGTTTTAACATTGAAGAGAAAATTCCCGCTCCTCCCGCGGCCATCAGTCTCATCCTGTTTGCCACAGTAAATATATTGAATGGCGACTGTAGAGCACAAAAACTGAATCCCGGAAATTTTGGGCGATCTCGAAATCCTGGGCAGACTCATCACGGAGACTCATCTAGACTTGTTGTTTAACTACTACGCTCGGTTACTGATAGGTGTGGCCTCCTAGGGCAGCGAAGCAAGTGCATTCTGGGATGTTGTCTTTCATCCACATAAGCCAAAAATACATTTTCTGGCTTTTCTCAGTCTAGAAAGCTCCAAATTCAAATATAATTTTACAGTTCTTCTACATAAATGAGCCATTTTAAATACACATTCATCTTTCCAGACATGAAGTATCCCTTTAACCAAATAACAGAAAATGTAACACAAAACACCCTTGTGTAGCCCTACTGATAATTAAATAAGAAAAACTGGTATATATAATACAACACAGTGTCACACAGGGATATTTGGGATTTTCCCCCCGTAATTCATACAGTAGGCCTACTTATTTACTTGGCAAAATCATAAATTTTAAGGAAATTTTAATGAAAAGTATTTTTGGATGCACTTGCATATATAGTGTCCCATCTGTAGCTCCAGTATTAACAGTAGCCCTGCACGCCTCTGTTAAAACTCCCCAGCCATCCCATCCTGTATTTCCAATCAGGTTTCCAAACCTCAGCCCCTTTAACTTTTAGTGCAAATAAACCTTTGAAATGTAAATGTGATCACTCTCTCAAGGATGTAGAGAAAGAAACTGCATAAAAAGACAAATCTGAGCTTCACCAATAAAACACACCACACGAATAAAACTGCGTTCAGAAGTGAAACGTTTGGGGCTTGTTGCAGTGAAAATATATAATGATCACCACAGTGTTCTTGTTGGTCTCAGATCACATTACCCAGCATTCCATAAAAGTTTATGGAATCTTGGCTTTTAGGCATGATGGCCCAATATGTGAGGTCGGTTCTTTGTTAAACGGTTAAGCCACAGTCAAAGGGAAACTTAAAGTCCTATTTTACTGTCCCTGTCAACACGATCATCATCACATTCAATTAACTTTAAGAGCAAACTAAAACCACAGTAATACAAGTAGCATGAGCACTATAATGCTTTCAAGACATCTACATGGACATGAAACTAGAATATGACACTCACTGAAGCCTTTGTTTAAGTTAACTTTCTGGAGTATTAAATGGCCAATAAAAATAACTTGTCACTGTAGTGATTTACAGCACTACAACAAGAGTACCACACATCAGAGAGAATCCAGAGACACTGTGAATGGATATGGCAACACTTCAGCATTCAGCACAGTTTATACACTAACAAAAATTTAAAACGGCAGCAACAAAGGTTGTGAAGAAGAGCCAGTCAACCATTAGTCCTGCACTCCATATAAAAATCAAGATAATATCTCATCTTGTTACAGCACAATATATTTGTATCAAATAAACTGTAACCATCACCCATAAGTTTACAAGTCTCCAACACTGTGGTCAAGTCAAAACTTTCTTTTGTCTAGTCTTTTGTCTAATTCAGCTCAAGTCTTATGCATTTCAAAGCCAAAACTAAAGTAAGTCTTGCTCATTTTTCACAAGATTTAAATATCTTTAAGTACGTTTTCTCTGTGCTGTATATGGGGGTATTTTACAAACTCTCTCACAGGACGATAAAAGTAATAAATGTATTGAAAAATAGTAGTACTAAGTAGTTTACATGTGTATTTGCCATATATTTTATCCAAAGTGACTTAAATTGCATTCAACACGCTATACACAAGATATAACTCCCAAGGGATCGAACCCATGACCTTGGCTATGATACTACCACAGGTTTAAGCATTTTTTTCTCCCCGTTGTGGATATTGTCATGAGGCCATTATAACATTTTAATGACAAATTCAATTTGACAGCCAATGTCAAAACCAACCACATGATAGTTTAAAGTAATGTTATCCCATACAGCTAAGTGGTTTCTTAAGTTTGATCATTAATCTGCTATGTCATGTTTATGACAGGTTGTGTTGTCTTAGTAATGTCAAGTTGTCATTACCAAGACACGGACAGGTTATGATGTATTGGTTTATGTCAAGTTGTCATAACAAAGGCTAATCAAATGTCATATTTGCATTAAAATTGTCATAATTGAGAGAATGACACTTAATGACAGTTGTCATAAACATGCATAAAACCTTCTTCATATTCATGATGTGTGTCATGTCATGATTGAGAAGGTGTCATGTCGGTTTTATGCACACCCCTTCAAATAAAGTGTTACCATATATATTTACTACTATAAATAATAAACAGCGAAAAGGAGAAAAACAATTAAAAATAGGAATTACCTAAATTTAGATCAACTTCAACTAGACCACATAAAGGATGAAAAGCAAACCAAATCCATTCACAAATTTGACGACAATAGGAACTTTTTTTTAAATGTGACAGCCTTTACAGCCCATTATTTTATTTAATAACTACATTAATAAAGTCTTTATGAGAATAACTTTTTTCCAGCTCCTGGTAAATGTAGCACCTTCAGCTTTCCATTTATGTCTACTATTTTTATTGCACACGAAGCAAGTAAAATGATCCTGTGCTTGACAGTTACATTGTGAAACTATGAATTGGATTTCACATTAAACCGATCTATTTGTTCAATTTCTGTTATAGTTAAACACAAAATTAACTGTTGCTGCTCAACTTTCATTCTTTTCTTTCAATAAAAGTGGCAATTTCCTAAAATGTCTACAGAGAAAGGCATGAATCAATCCACCATCATAAGAGTTAGACATTTTCTTAAAATAAAAATATAAACGACTTGGGTTTTTCCTCCAATTTACAGAGGTTTTAAGCAATCAAACATTGTAATTCATCATCATAAACCTTTAATGAGTTTAATTCTAAAGAAATATTTATCCAAACTGAACCCCTAAGATGGACCAGTGGGATGAATTCAAGTCCTCATAAAAAAATAGCCTACATTCTACAAAAAGGAAAAGAGCTAGAATAGATTTTGGTCAGTGGGAAACAAAAGCTCTTGAAAGAGACAGAAAAGTCAATAACCTAAACCATTTCATCATGTATTTAACATCTAACCCGAAACAAAATAGCCAAGGGCAGCAGAAGAAGATTGCAGCAGTTTTTCCATTATGTGCACGTTTCTATTAATTGCATGCTAAATTCAAAACAACTGGATATCAAAATACGTTAATCATAAAAACCTTACCCTTTTTATTTCCCCAATATCTCGCTCTCTTTTAAGAAACTCTTAAGGTCAAGAGAGATAATTTCTCAAATGAAAACTGTCATTTGCTTAACCACATTATACAAACGTGACATATTTCATTTGTGGGTGATCCCATCCCTTTTGTAGTTTCCTGAAGTCTTAACTCTTACATAAACTTTACTTCATAAATTGTCTGTAATATGACCAAGAATGAAATCAAGTTTGTGTTTAGTAAGAAATATTAGCTGATTGTGAGTACAACCAAGCCAATCACAAGGCTAAACCTGCATTATTTTACAGGATCGAGTCTCATGTTTATCTAAAAATAAGGAAAAGAGAAACATGTTTTGCAAGTAGACGCCACACCAAAGATCATGCTCATCTTCAGTATGTGCAACAACATTAACAAAACGATCAACTGAAATAATTTTTCATTAGCCAAAATAGCTAGTAGATAGTATTACTACTATACTGTTATGGCTTAACACTGATGTCGATTAACAAAAACAAGTTCAAAGATAGCTTAGTGTTGTTTTCATGCACGGTGAACTTACCCGAAGTCGAATCACTGTTGGTCCACTGCTGCAGAAACGACACTGTGGAAGACTCATCCATCCATCCTTCCTAGAATGAAGACCAACCCCATAACCCTGAATTTGTTTCAACTCTTCCTCTAAAAAGGGGGCTGAGAATGAAACATAACTGCCTTCTTGTTCTTAAAGCGTGTAAAACAATAATGTATAATATAACTGTCATAGACAGTCAGTCACACATCATTCGAGAGATATCCGCGTTATGGTATTATTGATTTAACGGAACAGACTTCTGCAGGCGACTCATATTTACGCACTTACTAACTTTTAAACAAGAAATTATTTCTTGAAACCCATACTTATCACAGATGACGTTAAAGAAATCATTATGAAAACGTCTATGTTTGGTTTTACAAATGAACGTGTGGAGATCTAATTAAAAATAATAATAATATCTAGAAATTACCCTGCATGAACGTTTATATATAATATTGAGAGATAAAACCCAATTATAATTAACTACATTACACTAAATAATGAAATTTAATATTACACCTGATGTGCAGCGCAGAATACAAACAGTGACATCTGCAGTATAATCGGAGAAACTGGGCATTTAGAATAATCTGCTAAATTTACCAGATTCACATTTTAGAAAATTTTATTTAATTACATTAAAGTAAATATTTGATATTTAACAAAATAACCCAATCGAGTGACCTCTTGGCAAACAAATACCATGTAAACCATTTTAATAAATGGAGCATAGTGAAAATGTAATGCAAATGGTCCTTGAAAATTTACCATTTTCCAGAGTACTGTTAAAAAAACATCACAAACATAGAATGTGAACAATAAATGATTTGAATGGTATGTGTTGACCCATCACTCAAGGTAGCATACTAAAATCGAAATGAAGTGATGACTTCTTAAACATTTCCTTAAATCCCCACCATGACTTTGAAGTCCACCATATTTAAACTCTCGTCACATTCTAGTACACAAGTACATATACACAGACAAAATTGCCAGGTTATGGAATGGTGTATGAAAGATGTAAATGTTAAAGTTAATGGGATTTCAAGGGGAAAGACTGTTCAGCAATATACTTTAGAAGGCATTGAATGATGCACAGTGCTAATCCCCCATATATTAGACATTTCAAAGCAGCACATTGTCTCTTTTTCCTCCTGACACAAACGTATACAGTCACAGACATCTGAGAGGACGAGGTTGTGTGGTGCACTATTCCTTGAATTCCAAGAACTGTTGAAGCCTTTTTCTATGTTCTGATGAAATATTCACAGCACTGTAAACAAAGAAAATAAACAATACGATTTAGCATAAACATGCACCACTGCATTGTAAAAAAGGAAGATAAAGATTTTTATTAAATACAGCAGGTTCAAGTCTACCCCGTTTACGTTTCGCAACAATGTTTGATGCAACTTACTTCAAGTGCTCTCCAAAAGTGGTAGTTATCTTATAGATGGCCGTCTTTAGAGCAGCCCTCAGTGCAAACCTAAGAGTTTTGTAAGAGGAATCTCCTATACTCCAGACTGTCCTTGCGGGTTTGCTGGAAGCATGTGGCAGTTTGAAGTGTCTGTCAACAGCCTAGAATTAATAAGTAAGATGAATCAGACTGTCTCCATTTGAATTCATAGGCTCATCACTTTTATCACTTTAATGTCCAAAAATGACTTGTTTTACCTCTAACAAGACTACTAAACAGCTAAGAATACTAGGTAATGTAGTCTGCACCACTCCAAACTGATCCTCGGAGAAAGAGGCTGCCACCAGATGAGAGAGTCCTAACAAATAGAAATAACAAAAGACTAAATAAATCATTCAAACAAATAAGCATGCAAGATGGCATCTCTTAAAAATGAATCACTAATTTCTGACCTTGGAGAGCCCAGATATGAGCCTGGCTGTCAGCAAACAGAGCTTGGCTAGAGGCTTCTGGAAGCTGTTCAATAGAAGAAACTTTTTAATGTGGAAAAAGCATGATTCAGATACCCATACATCTTAGGTACAAAGCATAAAAAAGTAAAATGCTAAAAGGCTTGTGCATTATAAATGTGAATGTAATTATATTAAGTCTGAAATCAATTTGATGCATGCAAGGTGGTGTATAAAAACACACTGTATAAACTGATTCAAATGATTTGGAAGCCCTTCACCTGACAATCTCAGTGAGAGAAACAACACCAGACTAAACCCCAACATACAGACCCAGTTTAACTACAGTTACTCTAATAATGGTATTATAATGGATGGATAAGGGTTAAACTGATTTTGCCAAAAGTAAAATTTTTAAAAGAATAAACTCTACTGTAATTTGCCATGCTTTTATTTAAAACTGTGTGTAAACTGGGTCACTATAATCTAGCATTACAACTGACCTACAGAACTAGAAGGACAGGGGAGACTAATGGTGTTAGTGTTAATTTAAACATGGGCAGAATCTAGACACATGCATTAATGATTCCTGCATCTAAAAATCTGTTGTGGGGACATGCAACATGCCGTTGCAGACAGATCCTCCATTCAAGTAATGCATGCTTAACCTTACCTTGTTAAATAAATACACTATCAGCACCCGCTTTGCCAAAAAGCTTTTAACCTGGGCAGAACAATTGAGAGTATGACAGGAACATGAGTTAACAGGTGTCTCTAGGCCATGTCACGGTATCACACTGTAACGTGAACTGGCTTCTTTTTTTTTTCCAGCAACCGAACTGGACACTCAAAAGCTTGTCAGTTCAGTTCCTATGGATACACACACTTGGAAACCAAGAAAACCCTATGAAATAAAGGCTTCATTTACAGGTCAGTTGGAATTAGATGAAGATTCTACCTGTTCTCTCCTGTTTTGCATCCATTGGGTCAGGAAGCTCGGTTTCTGATTGGCTGCAGGAGGACTAGGAACAGTGGCTGGGGAGGCCAGAGGACTGCCATTGGTTTGTGAATCTAAAATGAAAAAGAAATAAGCTAGGTTATATCACAGTATGATAGAGAATTATTGTCCTCAAGTGTGTTAAATTTGTTTTTGGCTTCTCAAAACGTCCACAGAACCACATGAACTCCAATAACATGACACTTAAATACATTATATAATACCTTTAAATCTTTATAACAAATCCTATGTAATATTTTTTTTTCATTTGGTCAAATAATGAATAAGATAAATAAAGAATACCATTTTTTTAATTTAAGTTCACTCATATAATTTATGATGAATTTATGGAATTGAAATTTAAAATGTTAATATTTAATTATAATTCAATATGAATTCATTTTTTTACTTTATTTTAATTATCTATTTAACAATGAAAATTATATAAATAATAATTATTTTTATTGTTAAATAATAGCTAATTAACAAATAAAGGTATAGGTCCATAATGATTTTATTTTAAAAAATATATATAATTACCATTATTATATTTTAAGAGTTGTTTATACATACATATCTTCCCAAGGTTACATATTGCTTGAATAATTTGATAATTTATTGAGATAGTTTTAGTTAATCTGCCTCACCTGTGGAGGCACTCCAAAGTTTGGGGCCCCTCCTCATGACGTGGGGGCTTTGTACAGTACCAAAAAAGGGAGACTGGGGTTCCTGTTGCCCAACCAGGCGTCGGATAGCAGGAGAAGAGAAAGGGCTGTCCACGTCTGGGGTGAAAGGATCCGTCAGAGCACTGTGAGCACCCCCCATCGATGACTTGAAGACTGAACCAGGGGTCCTTAGTGGGACACCGAGTCGAGGAGTCTCAAGAATGTCCTCTGTTCCTGACATCACTACAGATGAAAGGAAAAAATTAAAATCCCCCTCACTGGAGAGGTTTGATTCCTCTAACATGTCACTAAGGGCAGTGCTGGACTCACTGGTCATTTTTGACCCTGTTGGATTTTATCCAAGCGGCCTTACCTGAGCTGCTTGAAGAGGCTGATCTGGTGTCACTGCTGGCAGATTGAGATTTGACTCGGCCATTAGAGGCAACCGCATCCTGATGAGCCACCAGTCTTTGTGTCAGCTCACTCAGCAAAGACAGACATTCCTTACTGATGGCATTCCAGTTGTGAGGGTGACCACCTTCATGTACAGATTACATTAGTTTACCAGTGATGAAAAGGAGCAAGTTTAGAGTTCTTTCAAAAGTTTTTAATTTGTACCTGGCTGACTCAGACTGAAGACTTCCAGTCTACGTGAGAGAGAATGTTGCGATAACAAAGCCAGGTCTTGCAGAGCCAAAAACTGTGAAAGACAGTTAATCAGTTAAGGACCTATAAAATCTGCAAACAAGCATCAATAATGACAATGACAAAACAACAAAATAGCAAAATTAGATGGCAACTTTGATTATTTTACTGAGGTTGTCCTTACAAAAAGAAATATTCAAAAGATAATTATAGTTTGCAAAAAAACATTTACATTCACAATATAAATTCCGAAAACTTAATTTGTTATTTATTTCCATTGACCCTGGAAACTTGAGTTTTCCTGAAAACTAATAAAAAATAAAAATAAATAAATAAACTGACCTTCATGACTGAAGTGTTCTTCTCAGCCAGGACTTTGGGCAGACACTGCTCTGCATCCTCAGTAAATGTGGACTGGACTGGAAAACTGTAGGCCTGAAGATGCACAACAAGCCATAAGAATCATTTACAAAACAGGTACTTGTGTATTGACATTTGCTTTGATATCCAAGAATCATATCTCTGTACCTCTATGGCATAAATCCTGAAGAGAAGCACAGTGAGGTACCAGGTTAAGTACAGGAAAGTGCCACTGATCGCCAGGTGGTAGAAGAGGGAGAAGTCTAGAAGTCCAGTCAATGTATCTAGTGGTTGGAGAGAACTAAAGTAGAAAAAGTGATATAAAGACTCAGGAGTGATTTTACTAACATTAAATATTCCGGTTTTGGTAGACTGTGGTTCCAAATCTGACCTGTCTATCTGTAGATTAAGCGTGCTGGCGATCCAGGTCTTGGGAACATAACCTAAAGAAGTTAAAACAACATTTTAAAGAGAATCTGACAGGAAAATAGATGAATTTTAGAGTATGCATCTCTGATCATCAATGTAACTTACCAAAAAAGAAATAGAGAGCAGCAAAATTCCTGGCTGAATATAAGGATTGAATAACACTGCACTTCACCACCGTTGGTAGACAGCTCTTGAACCGGGGATATTTGTATTGCTTCATCACCAATGTGGGAGAGACAAAGAAGTTTTGCATTGATAACTTATTATTGGAAGCATTAATGATTCAGCTAATTCTTATTCAAAAGACTTTTGCAACTATTTTTAATGAATATGAGACAATAGTAACAGTGATAGACTGATATATATCCAAGGCTAATATTTGGTAATTTTTTTAAATAACCAGCATTGGCTGAAACATTTTTCCATTTGGCTGAAAAGTCTCATAAAAAGGACTTTTATTTTGACAGTGTTGTGAACCTAGTGCCCTTCTCACAGACAGAACTGTCAAACAACAACTGTAAATTAAGATTCATTAAACTTTGTCTCAGAGGCAAATGATTTATTTTCACTTACTATAGCAAAACTGCATTTATATAATTTAAACAAGTGCTTTAATGTCTAATAAATAATTGGATTACAGAATCTAAAGTTAAAAAAAAATTTTTGCAAAAATTTATTTCTAAATATTTGACTAAATATTATGTAAACTCAATCTCAATTTAATGGCAACAATTGTTATGCAAGTGTTAATTACAATCTTTAAATAAAATAGTCTGATACATATGTCTTATTGGCCATCCCGCTCTCTAATATATATATATATATATATATATATATACATACATACACACATATACATATACTACTCTGAATAGACAAATACTTACTTGTATGGGTTGAAAGGACACATAGTATATATTTTGAACCACTCCCAAAAAACTATGACTGTATCCCATGAAGGCCCCAGCCAGGAGAAGAAAGAGATGATACTCATTCAGACAGGTCACAAATTCACCACTAGAAAAGCCCACAATAAAATAAAGGTCATTCCAGTTATTGGTAGAAATTGCAGAGAGTAACAAAAACACCTGTCATTAAAAACCAAGCACAGACAGAGAATGCATTTCATTTGCAATGTAGAGGTGTGCTTGGCCTATATTAAGGTATGAATGACCTCAGGTAATTTTGAGATAAGATTACACAGTGTTAATTAAAACAACTTAAGATATCTGTTTGTGTGTCAATCTCTTCGTCTGGGGAAAAGAAAGAGCCGCAGCGCCTAGAATACAATTATTGAAAGATGATCCTCTGAGCATGTCGAAGGATCAGTGAATGTGTGACGAACAGAATCTGGTCATAACCCACCTCTCACTTTGCTTGCAGGGAGTGCCTAGAGTGCTGTAGCGTCCACCGATGGTAACAGAAGCACACCACATTACCAGCATGCCCATGGAGCAATAGACCAAAGAATGGACACACTGTCGTGGGTGGAGCACTGCCCCCAGAAGAGCCATACGTGAACACCGAATGGAAGGAACCACTTAGAGAAACAAAGAGTGAGATAAATAATCAGCTTAAAATGTAATTCAATACAAAAATTACAAATCATTTTGCACATTAATGAAAGACAAATCTATTTAGTCAATTTACTCACAAGTGTAGAACTCCAGGTTGAAAAAGCCAATCATCAGAACCACTCCACACAGTATGACAAGGGAAAAGATGGTGGTTGAGGCCGTAAGAAGACTTATGCATTCTGAAAGCAATGTTTGAGATGGTGACTAAAGGTAATTTACATATGAACCATATAAAGCTGCCCCTCCAAATTACTGGCATGATAAAAACATTTCAAAACATTTCTTTTTTCATACAATATGGTACATAAATGCCTGCTAGATCAAATATGATACAAAACAAAATGCATTTAACTTAAAATTAAATATATATATATATATATATATATATATATATGTTTAGCACATTGTGTATTTGACTGTTCCTTGAGGTAAGAACTACAGCTTACAAAAATAATGAATTCACACTCAAGCACGTCTCGTTATCCGTAACTTGTAATTATGCAGTTTGCAAAATGACATTTTCTTGCTCTTTTCCTCACCTGAAATCCATTGGATGGGATGAAACAGGCTAAATCTACTCAAGAGCACAAAGACTGCAGTTGTCACTGGCAAGAGAAGCACTGACCATGCAATACTCGCCATCGCCCTCCATATTACAACCTGAAAATAAAGATGAGAATTTGGTTTTGTTGAGGCACATTTCATACACCTTCACAAACACAATCTTTTTGCGATTATAATTTTAAAAGTTAACTCTAATTCGTTGCAAATAACTAATAAAGTGTAATACTCTATCAATGTATCATAGAAACAGACACGAGAACACACAAAACTACAAACCAAAGTTGGTTGGTTAAGTTACCGTACACAGTTCTTTAAATACTCTTTATATTTAACCAGTCCTTACCTTTTTTATAAACCAAGAGTTCTGTTTGAGCGAAAACATTTTGTCATGCTTGTTTCAGTTCTGTATCACTTGAGTAAAATCCATATCAACATGGCAAAAGTGAAGATAGTACCCGCGCCACACATTCGAAGGACCTCATAAGGACCGTTGCTGCGAGTGCGTCCGACTTACTGCCTGAGTACAATCACACTTAAAGGGATAGTTCACCCAAAATTTAAATTGTGTCATTATTTACTAACATCTCATGTAGTTCCAGACCTGTATGACTTACGTTTTTCTGTGGAACATAAAAAAAAATCTAATAAATATCTGAGAATTGAGCTCATATTCCATAATGGAAGTCAATGGTAACAAAAACTGTTTGGTGATTATCAACATTCTTGAAAATATCGCCTTTTGTATTCTGCAGAGAAATAAATAAATCATACAGATTTGGAACAACATGAGGGCGAGTAAATGATGACATTTTGGCTAGATTTCCCCTTTAAACAATGTAATTCTACGCAAATTAATTACTTAATTGATTTTAAGATATAGCGGAGCATATTTTTGATCATTATAAATTAATTACATATTGAACACTTGCCCTATTAATTAGCCTACATTATACTAATTAAATAGAGGGAAGCAGAATAAAAATGAATACATTTTATATTTAATGTTAAACAGTAATCCATTATACACAAAAGTTGTGAGCATTACATCAAACAGCAATCTAAAAATGTAATAATGAACCAACACATAAGAAATAACTGGTAACTGTCTTCAAATAATGTATGTTTTTTCTTAATTTTTTTTTTAAAACAACATATGTGTTTTATAGTATTATTTACAGCAGCCTAATGCGAAAAGATGTTTCATGAGACAATGTCAGTTGTGTATTCCTTTCGCTTCATTCTGAATTAACGCATTTTTCTCTCGATGAGTGCCGTTTGCTAACGTGATGCTGCGTCTCTCCAGATTAGTTCTGCTTTTGTCAAACTCTCGGCGGGTCTTGGTCTCAAACGCATTGGTGGGTAATATCTGGGTTGAACTGATGGACATCTCCGTCTGGATGCCTTTATGCACCACCGGCTTTTGTCCGGGTCTCTGTGGTATTGCGGGCAGGGAGAGCTGTTCCCGCTGAGCCTTCTTGTCCTCCCAGAGCTTCAGAAGACGACGCTGGTTGTTTGTCATGTCCTTCAGGTTCTGTTGCAGGGAATGGACCTGGTCTTCCAGAAGAGTCTTTGAGGTGACAGTGTTGGCCAGTTCAGAGGTTAGTTCATCAATGGTAAAACTTAGCTTTCCCGCTTTTTCAACCAGTGAACTGCACTCGCGCTCCTTCTCATGTAGGTCGTTGATTATATCCTTGGTGGTTTTACCGTGAAATTTGGGACTGGACTCTAAACCAATTTCAGCCCTCAGAATCTTCACTTGTTTCCGCAGCTCCTTGTTGTCCATTGTTAATTGCTTGAGTTTCTGTTTGAGAGCTTCGGTTGATCTCATTCGAGACTCATGTTGTCTCATTTTCTCTCTCATCACATTCTCGCGGTGCAAAGCATCGTCTCTTTCCTTACGGCACTTTTCCAGAAGCTTTGAAGTTTCGTATTTGGACACCTTTTCCGCTTTCCCAGCCATCATTCATTTGCAGTCTTAAATGCAATATTGAATGTTCCTTGATACAGGTGGTCAGGTCAAAGTCTCTTTAAATAGGGTTTCCATTTGCAGGTCATTAAAATAACAATGTCAGCAGATCTGTGAATTGAGAAATAAAGCCTCCTTATTTTTAATCCACGGTGTAAAGGGAAACAGTGACTTGTGAAGCTGACATTCTTCCACAAAGGTTATAGGTTTGGGAGGCAGCTTCGGTGTAACTCTAAGCTAAGGCTAGAATGACCATTAATTAGGACACACACACCACACATTGGCACCGTTTCAAGTGACACAAAATTTCTATTTTGTTAATTTGGAAAATGTAGCTCAGCCATTTCATATTGCTAGTGCCAATTTAAATTTTTTTTATATCTAATTAATCTATTGACAGTGATGAATGAAGGTTAAAAGTGCACTGCTGATGGTACTCGGAGATATATGAAACTTTGCGCTGTATCAAATCCTGACATCAAAGACAAGATAGATGTTATCTATGACAATAAACCTTTGTTTGTGAATCTTGATGATGCTCAGAATGAAATTCTACGATCTGCAGTTCTGCACCAAAACCAGTTGGCTCTCAATATCACAATCAATCATTAAGACTGTACAAATGGAAAAACAAAACTTTATACAGTTAGCATATACTCGCCACTTTGTTCTGTATTTATATACATTTGATTTTAAATGCGGAAAAACTACTAAATATTTATTACAACATGACATCTTGGAATTCGTTTGTTTGTCTACAAGTATCTTGTTCAAAGAAAAGAAATTTGTTACAAATATATAATACAAAAAAAAACCCTAAAGAAAACAATGGCCATCGTAGAGACCTTAAAGTTTGTAAAATATTTAAATAAACACCAGCTTTGACTTCCAACCTCATTATAATTTAAATATGTAATCAGTTTATGTAAGTATTGTGTTATTAAGTACATTTATAGATTATTTTATTTTTCCATGCCTTTTGTCTGCTGACACTGTAGTGTTTGTAAGTGTTAAAACATTTTAAGTGCATGTACATGTCTCAAAGTGGTAGAAACAGGAGAGTGACCCTTTTGAAAACCATCTGAATCTCAATTATCACATAAATATTTAAACAACAGCTACAGTATATACACATCCTCTGCTTTGTAACAGTAACGTGTCTGAACCTCAAATCAGAAATCTTCAGACATGTTGTAGATGATTATCTCAAGGTTTGGCTGCTGACCTACTAACCTAAACCCATCAAAATTAAAACTTCACCTTTACAGAATATAAAATGAAGAAATCCAGACAGCCCACAATCTAATTATCAAGATACCTGATTCTCTCTAATAAGGCAAGAGGAGAAGCTGCAATTACAGAAGAATAACAGTCTCTCAAGGAGCACATATGCACAGGAAGTCCTGTCTAATGCTAACATCTTACCAAATGCAATGTCCTGTTTTCCCATTAGCAACTACAATCAAATGACTTGGCTCATTTAAAAGCGCTGTCATTTCTATACCATTTCATCATTATTAAAACAGTTCAGCAGTCAGAGCACATGAGAGTACCACATCATCACTGAAGCCAGGGCTGTTGTTCAGTTTGCCTATGTGGATGATAAAGCGCTGGTCGTTTTCAATGGCTCATTGTGATCCTCTGATGGATCCATCTCGTATGTACTGAAGAAACATGCCTGAAAAAAAGAGAGAGGACACAAATCTTTCAGACTTTGACAGCACTTTTGTTCCTTAAACTCTGCTAACATGGCATTCCCTAATTAAATGAATGTAATTGAAGGCACATGATAGCAAGGATATGGTTCTGCTCACAAACTGGCACGTTTCCAAGCCAGTCAATGACTATTGCCAGTGTTTCCAAGAACACACCCCTCCACTGGGAAAACACATTTGACACCAACCCTGTTTGATCCTTTAACGCTACAAAAAGCAGAGCCGGGGTTCTGATGCTGAGCTGCTACAGCAACAAACTTTACTGTTATGAAATAACAGCATTTTTGGAACACTCAAAACATACAATTTTAATCAAGTTAAGTTTATTCCAGAGTACATAATCATATGCATTCATATTATGGATGCAGTCATATTAAAACACATATAAGCCAGTACTTATGTTACAGCCAATTTTACAATTCTATAATATATTGTCTAAATAAATTAAATATATATATTTTTTTAAAAAAAAAAAATGCTACCATTAAGACACTACAACATTATTATTTATAGTATGAAGGATGAGATTATTTTGAGATTTGCAAAAGATATGTTAAAGATTAAACATTATTAATAAATTATTAGGGTCTTAAAATAGAACAGCGAAGGTAATCTACAATGTTAAAATAGGGAAAACGAGTATGCAAAACTAAATACCTGATATGGACTGACACTGCTTAATTAAATGTTGTGCATCATGAATATGTATATAATGTAATATGTATATATTCTTTTCTTTTTTTTTAAAACTCACATTTGTAATGTATAAGAATTCTTGAAAAAAGGTACCTTGCAACCAACTGCAAGTAAGACGTGAAGAATCACGATGGTGGCTATAATGGCTACGGTAATCCTTGGTTTATCATCCCTGATGGCTGGCCAGAAAGTCATTACCAGCACAGATCCTGAGAGACACAAAGCTACCACGATGGAGAACCACCTCAGCCTTTCACTTGGTATTATCCACAGTATCTGTTATTCACAAAGGCACACAAACAAGTAAATAAACTGTTACACTGTATCTGTAAAATAATAACAGAAAATCCTATTAACTATATATGTTAATTATGCACAGGTGAATGCATATCATATTAATGCATCTTTTATGATTGTACTACTCACCACAGCGGGAATGTAGATGGAGAGTGAGTAACCATAGACACAAACTATTTGCATGAAGGAGTAGGACACCAGGCTTGTGATCTTCCTATTTCGCCAGGTGAGAAAACCCCATAGAGCTGAAGGCACTAACCATGCATAGCTGTAGATTGCTGTGGCTGCCATGGTTACTGGAAAACAATCACCAAAACAGGGTCATTTTTTTAAGGGTGAGTACAAAGGGTCTATTTTGTTTGGGTCATTTTGGTAATATTCTTTCTCTATTCTTTTTTTTTTTTTTTTGAGTTATTCACAGCATGCATACTACACTACTGTTCACATGTTTGGTGTCATTTATAGAGAAATTAATACTTTTATCCCACAAGGATGCAAGAAATTGATCAGAATTGAGAATTAAGACACTTTTAATACTACAAAAGATTTCTATTTCAAATAAATGCTGTACAAATAAATAAATATTGTACAAATAATAAGCAGCAAATCTTTTTTTTCCCAACATCGATAAATTAAGAAATGTTTTTTGAGCAGCAAATAAGCGTATAACATATTTCAAAAACATAAAAAAAAGACTTTCCAAACCCCAAACTTTGAAATAGTAGTATATATCAAAATATTTCATCTTAAACATTAATGTGTCATATGTCATTTCTTAATTTCAGTTAAAAATGTAACAGTGTATGTTTTTGTTACAGTTAAAACTCTAGAAAATGCTGTTCATTTTCCTGGTCATAACACAATATTATTTCAAACAACATAGCATATCTCTAACCTTTACTGAAGTCTGGCACATATTTGAACTTTGGCTGACCGTGGTGCACCAGAAAACTGGAGATGTTTCCACTAATAGCGATGGCGAAAACAAGAGTTGCACAGATCCAGAAAGGTCCTAGAATGAGAACATATTCAAGTTAATCAACTTCTTTCTCTTTGCTCTAATTTTAATCAATACATTTTAGTTTGATTTAGCTTACCATACAGGTCCGGGTTACTTCTTAAATAGACCTCGACAAAGTTTTTCCCAGGCCAAGGCAGAATTGAACCAACTATTCTGTTCTTTACCTATAAATAAACAAACAGGTACCTATAAATATTTCTGTCTTGTCTTGACAACACATTATAGCATATTAGCATACCGCTGGCTGACCTGATGGCTGTCCACATCGAATAATGTTTGGTAGAACTCAAACGTCCAGAAAGGTGCACTCTTTTTTTCACCTGACAGAAGCTGTGCGACAAAGCAACATATATTTTGAGTCAATACCTCATTTGGGGAAACGAAGATGTCAGATTTTCGTGATTGTGTTCCACTTACCTCAGTTTGGTCATTGCTGTCCAGTGGATCAATCTCTTCTTCTTCAGGGGCAGCTCCAGTAGCTTTACGTTGTTTTCGTGATTTGATGGGGTCATCAATGGTCACTGTTGTGGAACCTTGTTTACTTTCAAAGAATCCTTGGTCATCTTCAAATTCTAGCAAAATATTGAAAATATTTTTTCTAAGTTTTTCAAGAACAATATCCTATTTAAAATGATGCTAAATGAACAGTTTTCATTCATAAATAAATAGAGTCATTATTTATTTGGGGTGACATTTTTAGGATTGTTTTTTCAAATATTGTTAAATGTCTGTGGACTCACCTTGAAATTGCAGATGAAAATCAGTATTTGCCATCACAGGTCTATTGTGCTCTGTGAATAAAGGCAATCAATAGAAGACTGATAAGTACCCAAGCTTTAGTTTATGTTGTTGATACTGTAGGCTGTTAAAGGGATAGTTAACCCAAACTGACAATACTAATTCAGTTTTAAATCAGACTTTCTATTCAGTGGAACACAAAAGAATATATTGGGCAATGGGCATAATGTGAGGGACTGACAGCCTCAGACACCATTTACTTTCACTGCATCTTCTTCCCATACAATAAATGCAAATAATGACTGAGGCTCTAAATATTCCTAACATTTTTCAATTTTACAACTTTTTTGTTCCTCGGAAGAAAGTAGGTGAGTACGTGATGAAAAAAAATGGCAGAACTTTAAATTAAGATTTACGTACCACATGAACCATAGACGACTTACTGCTGTTACTAAAGTGTCCTGATCACGTAACGTTACAGCAGGAGAGACACTGCACAACCTGTTGACAATCAGACGTATACGGATGTTATACACAAGCAACACAAAACTGCAGTTAGAACGTATCAAATTGTGTTAAGAAGTTAGTCTCTCAGATACCTTTACATACATGTAACTATAACAAAACAAGACTTCTAATGTTGTCGTCGTGTTAAATAAACTTCTTGAAGTTTTTCAGGAGCATAAACTTTGCTTTGAAGTTGTGGTAATAGAAACGCGGAAATAAATAATCACAGTGATGCGTAGCAAAATAAAAGTTGCCCATAATGATGCCTTTCAATTTATTTCTAAACCTGGTATTTCACCTTGTGGTTCAGTGAAAACATATTTGTTTAGTTATAAGGCACAGCAGGAAAATAATGAAGTTAACTATCAGTTATCTTCGAAGTACAATGCGAGTTCAAATACAATAGTGTAAACGTTTCAGTAAAGACTTTTATTTTGGAATGCTCGTGAAACTCGACACAGAGGAGGGATGTAACTTCAACAGCCCGTCGCTTTTAAATCTCTTTACGATTTCCAAAGTTCTCGGTATTTCCGCCAGTATACTATTGAATTTAAGAAGACACCCGGATATTTTGGACATTAAACTCTCGGTTTGTGTCGATAGGTGGTAAGGAGGATGTATTTAAGCGAGGACTGCGGCGCCGTGTATGTCAGGGAGAAAGGAGAACTGCGATATGTCAGTGCAGACAAGAATGATGCTCCGCAGCACAGACTCTTCAACAGGGACTTCTCTTTTCAACTTTGCATCGACACTTTACCCTCCGCCAGCCACACAAAGAGAAGAGACCACTTCATATTTACCTACAACAAGGAGGGGAGTCTGCGGTACTCGGTGAAGTCTTTATTTGACATATCATTACAGTTCATCGCTGATCACATTGAGCATGTGGAATCGCTTGTCGGCTTTCCCGAGCAAATGGCTGATAAGTTGTTCTCGGCCGCCGAAGAGAGACACAAATTCACTGAGCCACAAACTGCACCCAGGGCACTGCAGGTCTTCTGTGAGGCCTACGGAGAACTAGTGCTGAAATCCCTGTGTTTAAGAAACAGGTGAGAATTAAGTATAAAAAAAACCCCCGAAAAAACGGCCAATCAACTTTTGAATGCCACGGACCCCAAAAATCCCCCATCCTCAAATTTCAAAGCCACATATTTAGTTATTTTCATGTATAAAGGCCAAATTTAAATTGTGAAATATATATATATATATATGTGTCTAAATATCTATATATGTCTTAATTATTAATTAAACTCGTTTTACTAATTTAGTACTGTACTGTTAGATGCATTATAATTTATTTGCTAACTTATTTGCCTATTTTCTGATTTTAATGTAATTTTTTATATATATATATATATATCTTTAATTTATTTTTAAAATAATTATTTTAATTATTTAAATACTTACACTGTTTTTCTCACTCCTTTGCTGCCCCCACTTTGAAAACCCCTGAAGTAAACAACATTATGATGGTCTCAAAAACCTAATGAAAAAAAAACCTAATGAAGGTTTAAAGACATCCAAAATACTGCCTAGGTAATCCTATTTACCCATTATAACCAGAAATAGCATTTACAGCAGTGTTATTATCTTTTCAGGTCCCTTTTGATACCTGAAAGGTTGGAGGAGATCAGACAGTTTCAGAGTCTGGAGTGCCTGGACCTCTATGGATGTAGATTGGGTGACAACCATGAGGTTTTTAAATACATAACATCTGAAGCTCTGGCTAGGTATGGATAACACATAATTGTGTACATTGTATAAATAAAACATACATTATAAATGATCGCTGGGTGTTCAATTTGTTCTAGCTTGTCATGAATAGTAAAATCACTTTTTTTTCCTCCTTACATTTCCCTTTTTTTTTCCTGTAGTCTTGTGAAACTTTTCATGGGTGCAAACTGCCTTTCTGATGCTGGCCTTCAGAGGCTGACTGCACCGGTGAGGGTTATGAAGAAAGGCCTAGAAAACCTGCAGCTTTTGGACCTCTCTGGTTAGTTCATGTATTTGTATAGTCAGACACTACCTTTCAAAAGTTTGGAGTCAGTAATATTTTTTGAAAGAAATACTTTTTTTTTCTTTCACCATTTCTGATCCTCCTAGATCCTCCTAAATATTACACAATGCACATTTAAATTGATTAAAAGTGACAGTAAATACATTTATAAGGCTACAAAAGATTTCTGTTCCAAATAAATGCTGTTCTTTTAATAAAAAGTATCATGGTTTCCTCAAAAATATGAAGCTGAAAGAAATGTCCCTAAACTTTTGAAAAGTAGTGTTAAATAAATATTGAAAAAAAGTGTTTTATGCACAATCAAACATAATTTCATGCTAATTTACACTCTTGTACTTCGGTTTATTTCTTAACAGAGAATCACATCACCGAGAAAGGTCTTGGATATCTAACATGCTTTAAAGCACTACAGAAACTAGACATATCTAGGACGAATGTGACGGTAACACAATTAAAAATATAACATCTATGAGTTTCATTAAATTGGTATGAACTGCTGAAGTTTTAAATGAGGTCTTTTTTAGGTGAATGCATCTTTGAAAGGATTCTTCAGAATGAAGATGAGAATGGTCCTCTCAGAGACCCCTTTGAAAGAGTTTGGACACTCGGATTGCAACACAGAAGGCTGGGCTGAACAGGTAACATACATCAGGTTATATAGTATCCATGATGGATGGGTAATGTTGAATGTAAATTTGTGGTGGTAGAGGTTTTATACTGTGGCCTGCGTCTTTGTATAAAATTCTATTTTGTTTTTAAATCAGGTAATAAACCAATGGGAAATTACAGCTTCAGAAGTACCAAAGAAAGACTCCAAACCAAGAACAAATGCTCTCCGTTTCTGTGAGTTTATTCTTTTTAGCTACATGTTCACTTTATCACACATTATTATATAATATTAATAAATAATTATATTAGTAAAAAAAAACTAATATGAATAATAATAATTTGTATATTGTAATGATTTTCATTTTGTTCTGTAGATGGAAGAGAAAAGTTTGTTCGAGAAACATTGAACTCCTGGTCTGGGACAAGTGCCACCACAAACAAAGACAAAGTTGTGCCAGTTCACTTTTATACGGTTGATCTCTGTGGCCCGAGCTCAACAGCAGAACACAACACGCATGCATCAGCACACAAGGGAAAGAAGAGGAGACTATCAGAGGAAGAGCAAAGTTCAACTCCTGTCGCAAAGCGCCAATCCTTCTCTGCTTTGTCTGCGGAGGACTTAGATCTGTTAAACAGCTATTGAGTGGACTCACACATGTATACAGTGCATTCCTCTGTGAGGAACGTGACACTGAAATGCTTTTAGGTTGGATTATTTACAATTAAAAACAGCTTGCTTTTTATTTTTGTACTGTAAACTTTTATTTTCTCTGACAAATTGACTGGCTGCCAATCATGGGTATATTTATACAAAATCATTGAGTAAATCACTGAAAGTCGCCATGAAACGGAAGTTGCGTTAGTCTTCACTTAATTGCGGCATATCCATGTGCAAAGGCTTCTCGAACAAGAAAAATATATATATATAGGGTGGGACTTGATTTTGTCCATGGGGAATAGAGTGGTGCAGGGATGGCATATTTATGTAGGCCAACCCAGAAAGTAGCATCAACCTGGTTCCCTCATCAATTGGCTATTGGATTATTATAGAAAAAAAAATTCTGTGCATTCATTTTAAAACAAGATGTGCATGGATAGATCATGTATAACAAATAGTGCAATATTCCAGAAAAATAAGTATTATTATATTTTAAATAATGTTGGTATCCAAACAGTTGATGGTAGCCATCGACTCTGGAAGAATGAAGAAACAAATTCATACAGGTTTGGAACAACTTGAGGGTGAGTAAATGATGACAGAATTTAAATTTTTGGGTGAATTGTCCATTTAAAGCTGGAATACACTACACAACTTTTACAATCTAAACAGGTTTTAATATAATCTGCTAATATAATAATAGGATAAGATTTTAAAATACACTGACTAAAAATGGACTCTAAACACTACCAGACTTTCAAGATGTTCTGAACACAACAAATTCCCATAGAAACATGTCTGAGAATGATGTCGTAATTGTCTGTGAAATCTGTCAACTCAAAACTGAACACTGGCACTGAGTTTTGGAAACTAGCATTGATTCGTCCAGATTTTAAATAAGGGCAAAAATTTGGACCAAAGTTGTGTAGTGTATTCCAGCCTTAAAATAACAAATTTCAAAACAGGACAAACGGTAGTGTGAACACATGCCCAGAGTCAATGCTATCAGACAGTACATCTGACCTCAAAAACAAAACAAATTGTCCAATAATCTATTTTAGTACATTACTTTAATTTCAGAAATCTTGGCATTTTTAGCCTCTGATGCAGATGTATTCATTAGACCAGTTAAAACAGTGCAGTTTAATATTTTTTTAAGTCTCAAATGCCCACCAAGGATAAATTTATTTGATCAATTATAATGTGAAATTACAATTTGCAGTGTTTTCTATATTCCTTATTAATAATGTTGAAAACAGTTGTGCTGATTCATATATATATATATATATATATATATATAGTGGAAACCATTTCTCAGGAGTCTTTGATGAATAGAAAGTTCAAAACAACGGCATTTTTGTTTTTGTTTTTGAAAAAGGTAGTTGTATTTAACATAATAGCTTAAAATAGTATTTAGGCTTGATAAATTTACATTCTGTCAAGAGAAGGAACTCAATTAGAGAAGTATGTCTTACTTTCCTTTTCAGTTTCATTTCTCTCTGAAGTTGGGTTATCAGATTATCTCAATATGAAAAGTAACACTAATTATCAAATAAATTCTATTGGTTGAAAAATAGAATGTATAATATTTCCAAGCAATACAGAAGAATAGATAACATTCCTTACCCAATTAACTGTCAGTAAAGCGTTATGTAGGCTAATTTCCTCACCTAAGGTTTCATTTTTGAAGCATTTATAAAAATAAAACAATATACTATTATTGCATCTGATATTAAAAATTTGCTCCTCAGAAGGCTAGGGGGAAATTCTAGAATCCCTTGTCTCTGCGGTATATGCTTTTGAGTTATTTGATGAGTGATTTACATATACAGTATGGTGTACATTCAAGTTATTAATTAATGATCAATATTTTTCCTCAATACATTATTTGAGTGTGATTGCCAAAATGTATTCTTGACTGAGGGTCTGGCCCATGCCAGGAATGCAATGCTTGTTCATTTAGCCCGGCTTCCAGAGATGAAACATGTTTTGTTTGAAAAAGGTCAACAACATGCGTTAATATATCAGTTCTTCTAGCTTACTGTGCCAACTAAGTCACAAGGATCATTGGAAACAATAGTTTAAGTGACCATTTCTTAGTATTTATTTTACAGTTCTATAATAAAGTGTCCTCTCATTGAGACAAAAAAATGGGAAGAGTCTCCTGTTTATAGCCCGACCAAATTCAACCTTGAAGGAGCGATGTGTGTGGTTAGTATTATTGGTAACAGGTTAAGGAACAGGTTAACAAGTGGCATTATTGGGAATTGACTGACTTGTTTTCTTCAACATGTTGGCGCCTAGATACAGAGTCTTTTGACCTCGGAGGGACACTTGTACATAACTCAGAGTCCTGGTGGAAGCCATATGTGCTACTGCCTATCAGCCCATGTGTGGAAATTGACTGTTTATCTATTTCTTAGCCAATCAGAATCATTCAACCCTAAGCAATGACATAGCTTAGATCTTGGTGTAGGGTGTCATTGCTGTGACCTTTGTAACTGTAAGGAATGGCCTACAAACTCGAGTCTTAATGCTGACGAAACTACAATCTTGAGTAAAATCTTCAATTGACTGCACTCCTGACTTGACTGTCTTCATTCATCTTATCTTGTTATGGGTCTTTAATTGTATTATCCCCTTACAATAGTAACATTAACACTTGTGCATTATCTTTGTTTCCGGAGTTCACATGCCCACACTAACAAAAATCTTACCAATTTTAACTAATCTAAACAAATGACAGATTCCACACCAATAACTATGCTACTGCAATTACAAAGGATACGCACACTAGATTTTGATCAGTGTCTATTACAACAGTAAAATATACAAAATAGGAACCAAACACTTTTTATAGGTCTGTTTATTAATATCAAGATGGCAAATCTGAGGTTGTAAAATATTTTCATTTAGGCTTTCATGACCCTTTGAAGGTTCAAGAAATGTTCACCCACTGCCACTGAAGCATAAATCAAAATAGTGATGAAATGAAAATTTCATTGTTAAACACGCATACCTCAAAATTTTTTCATAGTCAAGTTATTGATCACACCGAGAACGCTCAAAAAAAAAGGAAAACCTTCATTTTTACAAATGGGTAGTACCCTGGAAAACTGAGATCCTACAGAGCTTTCATTCTGATAGGTAATGCCTTTAAAGTGCCAAAACATCAACACAATATATTCCCCATAGTCCACGCTTATCAAATTTGAAAAAAGAGAAACCCCTAGTAAATGAGTTAGAGCAATAACCACAACTTTAAAAGAGAAAACCAAATCTATGAGACCCCAATTCCTTTGGATGTTAGACTGACTAAATGTTAGACTGATCCAGATTGACCTTTGATGGAAGGGGTCCCGCTTCCTCCTGCTCCACCCCAGGAGATCTGATGATCACAAGAGAAGACTGCAGATAAGGGGTCAGTTTTGGGTTCTTCATGTACTCCATATCCCCATTTATGCTTAGCTTCTGTTGAAAGGAGGAGAATGTGTGGAACAGTTGGTTAAATGGGTTTGACTGCGAAATGTAATTGGCTAAGAAACGTGAAGCAGTTTACCTCAGCAGGGACATACTGTTCAACAGCAGTGGACACTGTGGCACAACAGATCCAGATCAGAACAAAGACAGACAGAACCAGAGTAGTGGTCAGGATCCAGCTAGGCAACCACGGGTTCCTACCAGTACACAAGATCATGATGGTTTATATTCAACAAGGCCAACAGATTGTGAATAATAAGAGATCAAGATGTGCCCAACCTTGAAAGGCAGTTGAAGAGCTTGTAATCATCATCAGAGTTGCTTCCATCAATGAACATGTCTCTGTCTCTCTCCTGAATGGAGCTCCTTGGGTAGTCTTTATAGACAGGGCTTTTCATCCCCTGATCTACAACTATCAAAAAAACAAGGGGTGCTATATTAGTATTGTGATCTTAAAACTTTTATTAGCCCTGTAAAGTATAATAAATAACAGCCAGACAAATCTAAACTTTACTTAACCTTTAGACAATGTATAAAAAAAGTTTTTTTTTTTTTTTTGTTGAGAATCAGATTTAAAAACATCAGGCTTTTCCCACTCATATATTATGATATAGGAGAAAATGTAGCTTCTACTTCAGGAAAAATAAAATAAAATAAAAACTTATTCAGAGGCCCAAAATGCTGATAAATTAACAAATAAAAGTTCCTCAGATATCTGTTGTATCATATTTTATACAATAACTAAATAAATATATATTTGGATAATTAAGTTAAGCAAAGGGTTTGTATACATGACAACGATGTACAAAAAACTGAAAAGTTTAAGTAAAGCTAAGGGTAACATTTATGACAACTGTACTAAAAACGGGAAAGTTTTTACTTTTTGTTTTTCGTGTACAGACGGCAATATTGTCAAAATGATCCCTGTTCACACTGATCCACAAAAATGATTGGCAATGTTATTTTGTAAAAACTACAAGCCTATAGACTGAACACGTAATATGCATGTGCATGAGGTCATCGTTTTCACAAATTTTGAAATATTGCTAATATAAAAGTTATAAAAATCATTGAAGATTTCACAGCAAAGAGATATCTGTTCCAGGACCTGAAGGGGGCTTTCTATCAATGATCGATCAATCAGATGACAGAAGACATGTAGCTTGTGTGCGCAACAAGTTTTGATCATATTGATAAATCAGAGGCCTTAAAACTGCTGCCTTATATGGTTAAGAGAAGAATGCTAAGAGGGTGTAGTGGAAAGTGACACATTTAAATCAGGGCCTTTGCTGGCCAATCATGGCTGTCATTACATACTTCATTACATCATTTCTTAATGGTGCAGTCTGTAATTTCTGTGACACTGTGAACTGCAACATTTTCTAAAAGGTTTCACAAATCAGGTTTCATTTTTAATTTAATTTTGGACCTCATCATTTTGAATTAAAATGCCATAACTGGATCTTCTAGATATAGCATTGTGGACTTTTCTCCATTACATATTACGCATTTTCAATGATTTAGTCAGATTAAGCTCCATCCCTTTCTTACAATCGACAGTGATCTCGCATTCAGATCTGGCTCTGTCCAAGCAACAAACGATGCATTTAACCATGTCCCTGACCTACATTTTTGTTTTCTTTCCTGAAAATCTATTTCACTCCGATGTACATGACAATTCAAAAGAAAGGGTCTGCTAATTCTGTTACATTGTGACTTTAAACTAGTATGATATTATCCCTTGAATTCTCAGAGAAGTCTTAGATTAAGCAGGATTAGGCCTTAGTTCTATTAATTAATTAAATAGCTTTTTAAAAACGTCCCTTAGAAAACAGTACTGGTGTGCATCTTGAGACAAAACAATGGACCTGATATATTAAGATGCATACATGTAGGTTTCAGGTAAAACAGCTCAAACATGCATTTTAGTCTGGGACAGGGTTTATGCCTTGTCTGTGAAACCGGGGGTAAATAGCAAGAATGTTTGAGCTGTTTTACCTGAAAGCAACCTGTCTGAAAGCAAATAAAACGGTTATGAAGTGTGACACTTTCCACATCTTGCTTATTAATCAGAGCAGAAAGCATAAGCGTGTAATGTGCAGTGCTCACAAGTGCTCTGTGATTCTTCAGTCTCGTCTGTCTGGAATTCAAACTGAGGGATAAACTGAATTTGTGGCTCAGACTAGAAAAGAGTGAAGAGCAAATATTGATCATTGGCACACAGAAATAAGCTTTACTACTTTATTCCAGAGATGCCCAAACTTTTAATATGAAGGGCTAAAAATCTAAATGGATTACAGGCAGGTGGCTTAAAAATAAAGGAGAACATTATATTCAACTATATTAAAATTTAATTTAAAAATAATCAAATTCACGTATATTACATGTATTAACTATTTCAATACAAAAAAATACAAATAAAAAAAAACAAATAGTTTAGAAATTAAGATGCTATAATGGTTTGGGCATATCTGCTTTATACACTTGTACCTCCTAAAGAATACAGTCTAAATATATATATTTTTAAAAAGTTTAATATAACATCACCACCACGTTACCTGGAAAATGACTACTTTGCCATCATCTGCCTGGAGATAAAATGTCCAGGATGAGGTGATAAAGCTGTGGGCTTGGCTCATCATAT